CCGCGGCCGTACTTCGTTGCGCTCCTTGAGCAGGTTCTTGGTCTCCCGCCCTCTACTGGTCCTGCTCCTCCCTTAGAGTGTCCACCGCCTGTCCAGTCGCAGTCACAGTTACAGCCCACCTCCCCCCTACCTGCTCCTTCTCCCTACACTGGTCCTACTGGAGGTCTTGCTGAGCGTCGTGAGCCTGCGTCTCGTCCTGCGTCGCCTGTTCATGCTGCTCGCACTAGTGGTCGTGCTCCGCGTCCGCGTCCTCCTGCGGTCCCAGGCACACACCAGATGGCGCTGCGTCCTTCCACTGCTCCTCTGCGTGTCCCGTTGCCGTCTCCTCCAGAGTCCTCTCTTCCTGTTCTTGCTGACCCGGAGTCTGACTCTCTTCATGCTGCCAGTCCTACTGTCACGCGTCTCCTGGCCACTGTTGTTACTGACCCTTCGTTTGAGTCCACTGCTGCGTCGGCCCTCGTTGCTGAGCTCGTCGACTTTGCTGCTCGCTGTCGTCTAGACTACGCTGCTAGTCTTGTTGCTGAGTCTGAGTCTGTCTGTCCTCCGTCCGTCGGGGGTGAGTGTGCTCTTAGCACGGACGTCCTTGAGGACAGGCAGGAGGAGTTCCGGTGTTTTGCTGCTGCTTTGCCTCATCTCGTGTCCACGCTGATTGCCCCTGAGGGAGACCCGGATGCACCAGACATCCCGACTCCTCGATCGTACGCTGAGGCGATCGAGGGTCCCTACTCCTCTCAGTGGCAGTCAGCCATGGACGCAGAGATGGCTTCCTGGAAGTCCACAGGCACCTACGTCGATGAGGTTCCCCCACCTGGGGCGAACATCGTCAGTGGCATGTGGATTTTCAGGGTGAAGCGGCCGCCGGGTTCTCCGCCTGTCTTCAAGGCGCGTTACGTGGCTCGAGGCTTCAGTCAGCGACAGGGAGTTGACTACTTTCAGACCTTCTCTCCCACCCCGAAGATGACCACTCTTCGGGTGCTGCTGCACATAGCCGCTCAGCGCGACTACGAGCTTCACTCTCTTGACTTCAGCACAGCTTTCCTGCAGGGCAGCCTGCACGAGGAGATCTGGCTGCGCCGCCCACCTGGCTGCACTAGGTCGTTCCCTCCTGGTACCCAGTGGAGCCTCCGGCGGCCAGTCTACGGTCTCCGCCAGGCACCCCGTGAGTGGCACGACACACTGAGGACTACACTTGTGGCTCTTGGGTTTGCTCCTTCTACAGCCGACCCGTCGCTGTTTCTGCGCACCGACACCTCTTTGCCGCTGTTCTACATCCTCGTGTACGTCGACGACTTGGTCTTTGCCACTGCTGACACTGCTGGACTCGCCCACGTGAAGTCCGAGCTGCAGAAGAGACACACGTGCACAGACCTGGGTGAACTGCGCAGCTACCTTGGCTTGCAGATCACCCGGGACAGAGCACAGCGCACCATTACCCTGACTCAGTCACACATGGTGCAGTAGGTCCTTCAGCGCTTCGACTTCACGTACTCCTCGCCTCAGGCCACTCCTCTGTCTACTCGCCGTCCGCTCTCAGCTCTGCCTTCGGATGAGTCCGTAGAGCCGAGTGGCCCGTACCCAGAGCTTGTTGGCTGCCTCATGTACCTGATGACCTGCACACGACCTGACCTTGCATACCCTCTTAGCATCTTGGCACGCTATGTTGCTCCCGGGAGACACCGACCAGAGCACATGGCTGCAGCGAAGAGGGTGTTGCGCTACTTGTGCAGTACGTCGGGCATGGGGCTAGTGCTTGGAGGGCGACGTCGAGTGGTCCTCACAGGTCACGCAGACGCTTCTTGGGCTGACGACCAGGCTACGCAGCGGTCGTCACAGGGTTACACCTTCAGCCTTGGCTCCGGCTCTGTTTCGTGGCGGTCTACCCGCTCGTCTTCTGTTCTCGGCTCCAGCTGTGAGGCTGAGATCTACGCGGGGGCCATGGCTGCACAGGAGCTACGCTGGCTCACCTACCTGCTGACTGACCTAGGAGAGCCGCCTCGTTCTCCTCCAGTTCTGTACGTAGACAACAAGGCCATGCTGGCCTTGTGTCGGGAGCACAGACTGGAGCACAGAACGAAGCACATTGCTCTCCGCTACTTCCTTGCTCGTGAGCTGCAGCAGCGTGGTCAGCTGCGCCTTGCTTACGTGGCCTCTGAGGCCAACACTGCTGATATCTTTACCAAGGCCCTTCCGCCTGGTGATCATCAGCGCTTCTGTACTATGCTAGGTCTTGTGCCTACTTGGCCTCACTTGCTCACTTCTTGACCTTGCTTGTACTGTGATCTTTCTATACCTGCACTTGCCTGTTTACTTTTATATATGATCTTGCATGTGAACTGGCCTTGTGGCCTTGCTCTTGTGCTCAGATTGTGTGGTGACGTTGTGATCCACCCTGAGCTTGCTTTGCTTTGCTTGACTGGTCTTGTGACCTCTTGTTCTCCCCCACTTTGCCTATGGGGGTGTGTCAAACTTATATCATATAGCTTGTCTAGGCTATAGTGGGGTAGACACTATGGGGTACAGTTCTTAGGGTTTCCTACTTGTACCCAACCTTGTGCTAGTTCATTCATTCCTCATTTCTTCACACCTGCCCTGCCCGTCGAAACTACGGCCACGGTTTTGTGGACCTTTCAAGATTATCAAGATGGTGACACCTGTCACCGCGAAGCTGTTGCTACCCGACGACTGGCGCATTCACGACGCCTTCCACGTCAGCCTTCTTCACAAGTTCGTGCCAGCCACGACCGACATCGCACGACAACAAGCTGCCCCGACAGCACGACCTGTTCCGGAGCCGACTCTCGACCCATCGAGGATTTTGGCACATCGGGTCCGCATTGACGCAGCTGGCCGACACGTGGATTTTCTAATCCGCTGGACTGACCGCACCAGTGAGGACGACACGTGGGTGCCATCCGCCTCGCTCGACGCCTCGCCACCAGGGCCCAAAATTGGTTTTGGCCTACCCTGTCAAATCAGAGTTCCAGGGTGGGCCAACCCTGACTCCTAGGGTAAAAAATTTCGTACTCTGATTCCGTGTAAGAGTCCATATTCATAACGAACAAGCTCATTGCAAGTTGAAGTGTTTCGGTCAGAGGTGAAGCTGTGAGAGGAAAGGTCGCAAGTTCAGTGCTCGCATTGGGAAATAAGCGGAGGGCACTACTTGATGGCGCCATTTTGCGCAACATCCACCATATCCTCGCTACGAAAGACTCGGTATCAGTGTAACAGGATTAAAACACTGATGAAAGTCAGGGGAAACAATCTATAGCTCGGAATTCATAAGGGTACAAAAAATCAAGCTCTTTATGAGTCAGGGTAAGAAATCCGGGAGCCTGACTGGGTCAGGGTAACCTAAAAAAAAGCGGCCGCCAGTCAGGGCAATCAGGGTATTTTACCCTGACATTTTGGGGCCTGCTCGCCACTTGTTGGTGATTACCTGGCGCGCCGGCGTGTTTCGGATATTGACCGCCTTTCTTAAGGGGGGGGTGGTGTAAGGAATTTTCCCGAATTCCTTATCGGGGTTGACTGCTTCGCGTACAACCCGATTTTCGGAGTTCGCACGTTCGGCCGATTTCAACGCTGCCGAGGCTCCTCGCGTCGCCTTCGGCATTTCCATCGCCAAACCTGCACCCAACCTCACTTGTCCGAGGTTTCCTCCTAGCTAGGCTAGCCCTACATTAGTCTGTGCATTCATTGTATTCGCAGTTCATTCAGTCACAGCCTCGTTATTCGTTTACCTGCGCACTCTCTTTTACAACTCATAACATCTACCTTTAAATAAAATGCAAATTACCCTCAATTCAATCCATACATCCAATTACACAACCTTCAATGCCTCCATAATGAACAGTTTCAGCTGCTCGAGTTATTGGCACCTTATTCCTTTTTTTTTTTCATAATGAATAGTTTCAACTAGACTAGGTAGCATGCCCAAGAGACTTAAGCCTTACATATAAAGTACAAGCACCTTCAATAACGAATGGTTCATTCATTTGGGCAGAGCCATGTAGCCCCATACACCAATCAGGATCAGCTCTGCCCCACCATTTTTGCGCACAGCTTGCGTTACCATCATCATAGGCATCAGTCATTAGCTGCCCCCCTGCACACATCTCACAACACAAAGAAAAAGGGTGCCTGACTACTAAAGATTTTAAATGACAGAAAAGGGTGTCCAATGCAGGGCGTTTGTTGCTTCTGAGGTGACACAATCTTGTTGAAGCCCAGGAGATCCTGCCTGCAAAATGGTCAAGGTGAGTGTGGAATGGAGTGTGGCATTTAGTCAGTAGGACAACCATGTGTGAAGCATATCTAATGTTCAGCAGCAGTCAGCAGGAACGAGAGGAATAGGTGACCATTGTAATCTTCACAAATGAGCTTCCCTCTACCCATCCTGGACCCCTTCTCCTCTCTCACCCCTCTCTCTCCCCTTCCCCTTCTCTCACCCCTTCCCCCTCTCTCACCCCTTCCCCCTCTCTCACCCCTTCCATTAAGAAACATTTTCCTGGAACAATCATGGAGTGAAGACAGCATGCACACAACGCGGTGCTCTGCCATGCACGAAGGCAGTGAATGGCACACGCTGGCATGCTGTGGCCCACGGTGGCATGGTGTGGCCTGGCGTTCCCTCCAGCACCAGCAGAGGCACATGCCATGCCATACCTGCGACTGAGATTTGCATGTCAAAATGGCGATAAATGAGAAGATGGCCGAGCAACGTTTTCAAATATAGTAGGCAGGGAAGAAAGCAGGGAAAACGATAAAGTGCAGTTGGTTGAACAAAGGGCAAGATGAGAAGACCGAGCAATCAACACAGGAGGGAGACATGAAAATGGAAGTGCAAACTTGAGTGAGAAAGTGGAGACAGCAAGTTGCGCCATCCATCCATCCTGCCTGCACCACATACCACTTGCCTTTCCCAGCCTCTTCAGCATCCCCACCTTTGTCCCTCGTTACCCTCCACTCCAACCCCCACCTTTGTACAGCCAGTCACGTTCCTCATGCTCCACCCACCATGCCCTCGCTGCCACTCACCATGCGCCATCCCCCCATACTCGTTCGCCCATCCTCCCCTCCCACTTGCTTACCATCATGCTGCCATTTTTCCGCCGCCACAGTCGCATTTAACCAAGTCAGCCACACTCAACGCCACTCCCATGCCATCCGTCCGCATGCCTCCTCGCCTCCTGCGCCGCTGCCGCCACTGTCGCTCCTCTGCTGCCCTCTCACCAGTGGTGAGAGCAGCAGAAGTGGTGGGGAACAGCCCCCTCCCCTCCCCACCACATGGCCCCACTGTGCCACGCGGGGAACTGTCCTCCGCCCTGAACCGCTGTCAGTGGAGACAGGGGCAGGGAAGAGAGGTAGGTGGGAAGAGAGGTAGGTGGGCAGCAGATGGAAGGTGTGGTGATCAGGAAATGGCAGCAGGAGATGGCATAGGTGAGTTGGCTGGCCCGTGTGTTCTGCTTCGCCAGGAGTGCACTCTCGCCCATCTCACCTTGCGCCCATCCATCCTTCCCTTCCCCCTCCCCTTCCCCCATTTTCCTCCCCTCTTTTCCTTCCCCTTTTACCCCCCCCTCTTTGCCTTCCCCCTTGCCTGGGAAGCATAGCCTTGTGTCTATTGAGGGAGCTTGTAACGGCCATCGCGATCCGCGCTTCAACCCCGACCCTCCGCGCTCAGCCCCGCGCCAGCGCACGTTCCCCCCGCCCCTTCGCGTTCCCCTCACCACCTTCCGTCTGCAGCACTCGCCGCCTCCCCCCCGCTCGCGAAAAACCCGTGCTGATGGCTAGGTCACACGGAGGCAACGCGGGGGAGCGGCGCGCGGAAAGAAGCCGCCCCCACGGGGTTGGCGCGGGGGGGTTGCGGAAGAGCGAAAAGCGGTGGGAGGTGCGTGTGCGCGACGAGATGGATGGCGACGCGCGAGACAAGGGCTCTCTTGCATTTGGTATGCCGCGCGATGAGGCTCGCAGTTGGCATGCAACGCGAGGTGGTTGGAAAGGGGATGCGCGTCGACGCGCGAGAGCGGATGAAAATTCCAGCATGAGGGCATGAGCGCACGAAAGGCTCAACGCGCCGAAACGCCTCGCGAGAGCGACGCGTCCTCCATCGCACTAACACCTCCGCCGCTAGCGAAACGCCCCTCTCACCCCCCCTTTCCCCATGAGCGCACGCTAAGCCTTATTTTCCGCGGAGGTACGCCGCTGCTGCCACACTGCTGCGCTCTCCGCGTTGACCTCATCTCCGTTTGCCGGTCCGCTGCCTTCGCGCCGAGCCCCAAAGAGCCGTCGAAGCGCTGAGCCGCTCACTGAAAAAAAGTGCATGGGTGGCGCTGACCCATAGAGCTGGTCAACGGGCGACGTGCGATTTGCTTGATGCTGGATCATGGAGTGGCGATGCGCGCTCCACGCAGATCGTGAAACTGGCAGGAGTTGCAGCGAGGACAGCGTGGACGAGGTGCTTGCTGGAGATTGGGTGCGGTGCCATGCGGTTGCTTTAATAATGGTCATAATGCCTTGTAAGAGAGAAATATATTCCTTAATCTAATCATATTGCTCATTTTGGAAATCAGACCAATCAAAATTACCAGGAAACTGCTACGGCGAATTTCGTTGGTATTAAGAAAGAACCTCTCCAGGGCATGCTTGCAGCTGAATGGCTGTTTGCACCTCCTCCATGCTGTTTGCCCAACATGGACAGGCAAGGCATGTCCAATGTGCCTGTTCTGATGCTCTCCCACATGGTGTTGGGTGGGTGGGTGAGGTAGTGATGCATGGAGAGCACGAAAGCAAACAAGAGACATGCTGTTGCAATTAGAGGAAATTTGACGAAGGAAAGTTGAGAATATGAGAGAGGCAATAGTGCTAACTTTGTGGAGAGTGACAATGAAAAGGTGATTTGGGCAGTGGAAAAGCAACTACAGAAAGATTGGGATGAGGTTTAGGGGGATGAGAATGGTCTAATGGCCATGGAAAGATGGCTGTGGAGTAGTGACGTGTTAGTGAAAGCCCGACAGTGGGAACATCACGCTGCAATGAAGTTAGTGAAGCGACGACACTCGAATCATGATGATGCGAAGATGATATTGGGATGATGTCAATATGATTACGACAATAACAGCATGTCAATGGGAAGACTACAACTAGGTAGGGGCCTGAGGAGAAATCAAATGCACGTTGACAGAGGGAAGAGATGCCATGGTGCAGTGCGGAGAGCGAGCATGGGTGGGTGAGGAACGGTGAGCAGAGCATGTGGGGGGGGGGGGGGGAGGTGGGGCATGCGGAGGGGATGGGCGACGGTAGGCGGGTGGGCGTTCCTCCATCATGGTGCCATGTGTGCATGACAACCAGGCAGGTTGGCATGCAATGGCAAGGCTGGGGGGGAGAGAAATGACAATGAAAATATGGACAATGAAAAGTGACAATGGGGAAATGTAGCAGGAGAATCGGCAATAAGAAATGGCAAGCTGATCGGACAGAAGCGAGAAACCAATCGGAAAAGTGGCAGTAAGAACCTGACAAGGCAAGTGACAAATGAGAAAGTGAAATTGGCAGGACAGATGAAAAGACTCAGCAAACAACAGGTAAGTGAACAACGCAAATCGACAGTTGAATGTGAAACTGAACGAAAAAGTAGGCATTGAAAAGTTGAATGAAAACGGCTGTGGGGAGCTGGGAGGGTTCAATAAGCAGTTGACTAGAACATGACTCGCTGGAACCATGAGAGTGAGAAGTTGATTTGAAACATGAAACAATGGGTCGAACAGAATGGGGTCATGAGGATATCAGAAGATGAGAAGGTGGAAACATGGCTACGGTGTATGGGGATTGAAATGGGAGGCATGACATACACACTTCCAACTAGCATGATTTGACGAGCGAGAATGCATGACTAACAGACATGCCAGAACGAATGGCAGAAGAAAAATTTGCAATGGGGGGATTGATAGGGGAGAAAGTAAGAGAGGGGAGAGGAATGGCCTTGCCTTGCGATGGCTCACATGCAAGGGGAAGACAGGTGGATCAAAATGAATGGGGAATCAGGCAGTGGGGAATCAGGCAGTGGGGAATCAGGCAGTGAGGAATCAGGCAGTGGGGAATCAGGCAGTGGGGAATCTGGCAGTGGGGAATCTGGCAGTGGGGAATCAGGCAGTGGGGAATCAGGCAGTGGGGAATGAGGCAGTGGGGAATCAGGCAGTGGGGAATGAGGCAGTGGGGAATGAGGCAGTGGGGAATGAGGCAGTGGGGAATCAGGCAGTGGGGAATCAGGCAGTGGGGAATCAGGCAGTGGGGAATCAGGCAGTGGGGAATCAGGCAGTGGGGAATCTGGCAGTGAGAAATCTGGCAGTGGGGAATCTGGCAGTGGGGAATCTGGCAGTGGGGAATCTGGCAGTGGGGAATCTGGCAGTGGGGAATCAGGCAGTGGGGATCAGACAGTGGGGAATCAGGCAGTGGGGAATGAGGCAGTGGGGAATCAGGCAGTGGGGAATCTGGCAGTGGGGAATCTGGCAGTGGGGAATCTGGCAGTGGGGAATCTGGCAGTGGGGAATCTGGCAGTGGGGAATCTGGCAGTGGGGAATCTGGCAGTGGGGAATCTGGCAGTGGGGAATGAGGCAGTGGGGAATGAGGCAGTGGGGAATGAGGCAGTGGGGAATCAGGCAGTGGGGAATCTGGCAGTGGGGAATGAGGCAGTGGGGAATGAGGCAGTGGGGAATCAGGCCGTGAGTAACATGACTGAAGGAGAAACTTCACAGAGAGATTGACAATGGGAGAAATGAAGTGACATAAGAATCTTGACAAACAGTAAATTAAAGGCAAACAACACTCGCAAAATCAGCATAGGGAAGTTAACAGAAGGATTGATTTTGGATTTCATAAGGCAGCTCATATGCGATTGAAAGATTGATTAAGACTCAAAATCCGCCTCACCACACCGGGTATGAAAGTGAGATGTTAATAAACGGCAGTCGTACAAGGAAATGCGGGATGGACAGTGTGGTGTGGACATAATCTGTGGGGGGGAACATGGCAGACAGAGGGATATAGCAAGTGGGGAGATGACAGCGGGATCATGGCAGTTGTAAGGTAACATGGGGAAGTATGAGTAGTGGGAAATGACGATTCCATGAAATCAGCATGATATGCGCCACTACCACTACCCCACAAACACCATAGCCATGCCATATCTTGTCACTGGGAGCATCACAGTTGCATGATGAGAGTGGAAGCATGACAATGAGAGCATGACAGATGCATGATGAGTGTGGAAGCATGACAATGGGAACATGACAAATGCATGATGAGTGTGAACGCAAGATAACGGGAACATGACAGTTGCATGCCATGATGGGAGTGGAAGCATGACAACGGGAAAGATGGCAAAGAGGGAGGTGGCTGTGGAACAGGGGCGATAGGAAAATGACAGTGGGAAGGCAATAAAAAACTGACTGGGAAGATGGTTCAGGATAGGCAATGGGCGGCATAGGAACAGAATAAGGGGCGGGGAGAATGGCAAACGCAAGATAACAACAACGACCCAACTTCAAACCACTCCACGCTCACCTCTTCCTGCTTCACTTCTCCATTCCCCCAACACCAGCTAGTACAAGAGAGTGAAACCACATCTGATCGTTGCTATATAAATAGTTACAAGATGCTAAGAACAGATTGAATAAACTAGGAAATCCTAGCTACTACTAAGACCATGAACTTCATTGCAGCAGATCCATCGCCATGCTCAGCCACCAGCCTTCCCACAGCACAGACCACCTTCCAGCTGATCACATTCCTCCACCTCTCCTGCCATCTCTCCCACAACACCCTGCAAGCAGGGTGCAAAAAGGGGTAAGTCCCGCCATGCGCCTGCCACCAGCCCCCACCAGCCATGCTCATCCCACCAGCCATGCTCATCCCACCCGCACCGCACCACGCCTTCCTCCACATGCCATTTTGAAGGCTCTGGATCTGCTTGTAGCTACAAATGATGCTACTGCTATTGCTGCTGCTGCTGCTGCTTCACCGTTCACTGCTTCCCCGGGGTGCTGCTGTGCGTGGCTTGGGAATGCGAGTGGCCGCCACTGCTGCTGCTGGAGCAGCCGGTTTACGAGTGCTGTGAGGCGCAGCCTGCACTGCCTTAGCCGCTGCAGCTGTGAGCGCTGCCCTGCTCTGCCCAGGCTGAGGGATGCCACTCGCACCACCGCCACCACGCCCTGAACCCGACCCCACACCTGCTGCTCGCCCTCCTGCTGCCTCCACCCCTCCCAACGCCGCCTTCCCTGCTGCTACACGCACCGCCGTGTGAGCTGCCCTCCCAATGCCCTGCTCCCTCACCTTCTCTGCTGCCGCTTCTGTTGCCACCGACCCCACTGGGCTGCTCTTAGCAGCAACACTCTTAGCTGCTGCAGCTGCAGGCTTAGCAGCAACGCTTCTAGCAGCAGCAGCCTTGGCTGGTGCAGCTGCAGATGCACGCGTTCCCTTGGCTGCTGAAAGTGCGGCCTTAACAGGAACGCTTTTCACAGCGACGCTGGAAGCGGTCTTAACAGCAGCGTTGCTGACAGCAGCGCTCTTCACATCGGCGGTGGCGACAACAGCGCGTGCACCCATGACGTGCGTGGGCGTGGGCGTGTTGCTGCGCGGCTGACTCACGGGCTTGGTGGGTCGCAGTGGGGAGAAGCCCAGCGACGCACGGGGGGAGCGCGCAGTGCTCTGCTCGTCCTCGTTCAACCGCCCCACGCGCACCGCAACGGCGTGCAGCCGCTGCTGCCGCCTCTTGCTCATGCACACCTCTGCACTGCTGCCACGCTTCGACCTGCTGCAGGAGCTGTCGTTGCTGCAGCCGCTGCTGCCGTTGCTGCTGCTGCTGCTGCCGAGACTCCTGCTGCGAATGATACTGCTGCCGACGGTGCTGCTGCTGGGAACGCTAGCGATGCTGCTGTCGTCGCCGTCGCTGCTGATGCTGCTGCTGCTGTTGCTGTGGCTGCTGGTGCTGGTCGGAGTGGTGATGGCAGCAGCTGCAGCTCCGAACGTGAGGGTCACAACGGGTTCACAAAATGGAATTCCTGGGACGTACAGCCACGTCTGCTCCTCCTCGCTGTAGTCCTCCCAGAACGCGTGTTCAATGGAGGTGTCTTCACCCATCGAGAATCCAAGCGGGCCAGACAGCCAGGTGCAGTCTTCCTCTGAAAAATCCTTCCAGAACTCGTGATCCACGCCCAAGGAAGTCAGCGGCGCGTACAGCCACGTGCCATCCGCCTCGCTGAAGTCCTTCCAGAATTCATGGTCGATTGATGGGCTCGTGAACTGGAAAGCTGAGGCGTTCCGTGCGGCCATGGTAAGAGTCCAAGCAACTAGGAAATCTCAAGAATCGAGAACCGGGAGCCGAAACCAGGTGATAGCTCTCAGAAGCAAGTACGAACTGGAACGGGTGAGCAAGTAAAAACTCGAACGGGTGTGGTGGAATGGATGAGAATGACGAGTGGCTTTGTAGTGTTGCGAATGCACGACAACTCCAAGGCGGAAAGGTGGATGGAGCTCGGGTGGAGAGAAGGAACAGTGGTGGGTAGATGGTGGGAGGCAAGTCTGCTGCCCATAGCGAAAGTGGTTCATCCCGGGAAAGGCGTGCTCTGTGTTGTGATTGGAGGGGAAAGAACGGAGGGGCCGAGCAGCCAATGGCAAGCTGTGTGAAACAAATGTTCCAAGCATAGCCTCGAGGTTCGGCACAGCCGGACGAGATTGTCGCGGCTCGTTCAGCTAGGACCAAGTCGATTCTGGGCAGCAAAGTCTCAGCGTTTCGGCTGCCCAAACTGAATTCGAATCGCACTTCCGTCAAGGTCGCCGCTGCTCGAGGATGACTCAGTCATACGCCTGCGGAAGCACGGTACTGCTTCTCGTTGACTGAATGTAGGGTTCCTGTAAGAGTGATCGCCACTCTAAGGTATGCTCGAGGCTGCTATGCCTTCGATTTCGTTCCGTCAGCGTCTACGAACTTAAGACCGAGGAAACTACGGAAGCGATTGAATCGGAGGCCAGCGGATCGCACTTCGGCTTGGCGCCTAACAAATGAAATTCGATCGGACGGTTCTTAGCAACTGAGGAGATCTCGGAGGCCCTGCAAACAAGTCTCGAGGAACTAGGGTTCCTCCTCCCAAAACAATCGTCAGTCAGGCAGGTCCAAGCACGAGTAAAACGAATGCTTTCTATGTGCAAATTCGTTATAAGATATTACAATTGTTACAGGTTAATTCTTGCACGAACAATATAGCAGGACGTTCCTTCATAAATGTTGAACCAAAGAATATGACATTGTTTAAAATCACTAGGTTCATCGGATCACCGCATTGCAGAAAATCTAACCAATGTCCAGCGCAGCTTGTGAGATTTATCGCACTTGTCCGGCATTGGAATCGATTTGTTACCACCAGTACGTGAATTCTCTCTGCTGTATTTTATCATCAAGTGAGAAGAGGTTTGACCTTATCAGATATAAGGTACCTTACGGTAACCTCATGGTAGAGTGCATCAATCGAGCATATTGACAACATTGCAACTCTCAGCATATTGACGAAGGCAGTTTTCCTCCCGAATGTCCCTCCAGAAGAGAAAAAAAACATGAACAAACAGTTTTTGTACGCACCCTGTCAACCACCCAACCAGCCCCTTACCCTTCCCCTCTCCTTGCACGCTGCTCTCCCCACCCAAACTCTTTCCCAGACAATCTTCTTGCTGCAGAGCCAGTCACCTGCAATGAGATAGCCAATCGCATGAGATAGCCACTGGAAGACAGGAAAAGGAGAAGAGAAAAAAAGAAAAAGTTGCTCAAGAAAAATGATGATGTGAGATTGAGTGAGATGGCAAGGCAATCCAATCTCGGACCCATCCTGTCTTCTCCCCCACTTCTCTCCGTTGGTCACAGCCTCTCCTGAGTTCTCTTTCCTGCTCTCATGCCCATCGCCACTCCTATAGGATTTAGGGTGAGGCCGTATTTAGGGTGAGCCAATGAGAAAGTTAAAGTGTATAGAAAGAAATGTGGTAAAGGGTGTTGTGAGCATGAATGTGATGACTGTGATGAACGTACGGCAAAAAACAGTCTGCGAGCTGCACAACAATACACACCCCCCCTCGTTCTTTGTGTATTCCCCACCCTTGCAAACACTCCAGCCTACCTGGTGTGGAAGGATGGCATGAGAGCATGACAATGGGGTAGCGGCAATGAAATAGCGACATTGGGGCCGCCAGAGTGGGAAGAGGACATGCAAGAGAGAGAATCTGACTATAGCGGATTGGGAAAGGGAATCTGATAACAAGGGGAGGTAAAATTGGAGAAATGGTTACGAGAGGAGAAGGGAGTGATAAGAGAAGGAGCAGGGGTAGATGGCATGGAAACGAGAGCACGGCAGTGTGATCATGACATAGGTTCACGAGAATGCTGAAATTAGCATGGAACATGGCAGTGGGATTATGGCCGGATAAGCATGGTAATATGGGCATGGGGTGAGAGCATGCGAAATGGCGAAGCGGTGGTAAGTCTGCCACGAAAATCATGCCCTGCCTGACATGCATTGGCTGACATGCATTGGCTGTTACGATTGGAGCATGGGCGAGGTATGTGGAGGGGATGGGAGAGGTTGGGACAACGACCAGATATGGGCGATGGCAGGCGGCAGGCAGGCAGGGATGAGATCTGAAAATCATCGTGGCAAGCAATTGAAATGGGATTCTGGCAAGAGAGCGTAACAACACAGCTCTAATTGAACAACTGGTGATGGCTAAGTATCTGGCAGATGTCTATGTGAATAAGATGCGAAACAAAAATATGAGAATGAGATGAAGAGTGGCAACAGCAAGTTGACTGAACGAACTAAAGATAGAGAGTGAAGAGGGAAAGCGAAAATTGAGGACCATGCTAAGTTGACTGGACTGGACAAACGAATAGGGGAAGTTGCCTGGAAAATGGCAATGGGAAAGAAAACATGGTCATGAAGGAGAGCTTTCCGTGATAAATAGTGATGGGATGCAGAGCATGAAATGGTAATGAAAAGTGGTTCAAAGAATGAGAATGGAAAGCGAGATGTGCCTGCAGTGACATGTGTCCTCTCCGACACCACAGCAGCAATGCGATTGAGAAGAACAGGGAAACAACAACTGTGAACATAGCAGTACGGTAATGGACTCAAATTATCTCCACCAAGCAGAGCTATCAGATTGGCTGGTTAAGTGACAACGAGAATACTTCATAGGAGAGGTGGCAACTTAAAATTAAAGAGGTGATGTGAACAGCATGGCAATGGAATGGCAGCGAGAAGTGGATGGGAAGAATGGCAGAATGGGAAGTGGATCGGGAAAGTCACTGGAGAGCTGATAACGCAGGAATGACAACGAGAAGCTAAAAGTACATGGGACTGACTCTGTAAGCTTCCCATGGCCCATGGGGAATGACAATGGGAGGATAAGACACGTATCAGTCTCATCACGCCCTTTCCCCCCCTTCCCCCGCTCATGTTTTCTCCCCCCATTTCATTCCCTCCTGCTTAAACCGTCTCCACGTTCCTCCCCTTCTAATCCCACCCTTCCAACCACTTCTCCAGTGGGAAAATTACAATGCAGTCATGTTATTGCAACGATGAAAGAGCAAGATTAAGCGAAGAAGAGGATTTCGGGGGATTGGGAGGGGAAGAGCGAACACACAAATCATGCAGTGCAGACATGGGTACATTCACATCATTCATACAGAGCAAACGGCATCAGCTAGGGCATGGGTAGGAATGCAGAAACGAACGCATGCAGCAGGAGTGTGGCATGCAGGAATGCCAAAACACCACTGACAGAGGGAAAGTGAAAATGGGAAAATTGCAGACTGAGAATGAGGGAATGACAGTGGGAAGAGGGAAAACAGCAGGGAAACAACAACTGGGAACATGGCAGTACGATAGTGGGAACATGGCAGTGGGATGATGATAGTGGGAACATGGCAGTGGGATGATGATAAGGCTGGGAATGGGATCACATGGCTGGGAATGGGATCACATGGCTGGGAATGGGATCACATGGCTGGGAATGGGATCGCATGGCTGGGAGTGGGATCACATGGCTGGGAGTGGGATCAATACAAGGTGATTGTGCGAATGGTTCAGGGTTTAGATAAGACTTGAAATAAGATGATGAGATTGGATCATAAGAATGAGATTGTGGGAGTGAAATTATTGGAATAAGATCATGGGTTAGGGACAAACAGAATTGTATCAAGAAAGTGGGATAATTCAAATGAGACCATGAGAACCGGATCAAAGGGTTGGGATCAGGCGAAAAGGGTCATGCGGCTGGGCATGGCAGGCGTGGCAGGCATGGAAGGCATGGTAGGCATGGTAGGCATGGTAGGCATGGTAGGCATGGTAGGCATGGTAGGAATGGTAGGCATGGTAGGCATGGTAGGCATGGTAGGAATGGTAGGCATGGTAGGCATTGCAGGCATGGTAGGCATGGTAGGCATGGTAGGTATGGTAGGCATGGCAGGCATGGTAGGCATGGAAGGCATGGTAGGCATGGTAGGTATGGTAGGCATGGCAGGCATGGTAGGCATGGTAGGCATGGTAGGTATGGTAGGCATGGTAGGAATGGTAGGCATGGTAGGCATGGTAGGCATGGTAGGCATGGTAGGCATGGTAGGCATGGTAGGCATGGTAGGCATGGTAGGCATGGTAGGCATGGTAGGCATGGTAGGCATGGTAGGCATGGTAGGCATTGCAGGCATGGCAGGCGTGGCAGGCATGGAAGGCATGGTAGGCATGGTAGGCATGGTAGGCATGGTAGGCATGGTAGGCATGGTAGGAATGGTAGGCATGGTAGGCATGGTAGGCATGGTAGGAATGGTAGGCATGGTAGGCATTGCAGGCATGGTAGGCATGGTAGGCATGGTAGGTATGGTAGGCATGGCAGGCATGGTAGGCATGGAAGGCATGGTAGGCATGGTAGGTATGGTAGGCATGGTAGGCATGGTAGGCATGGTAGGTATGGTAGGCATGGTAGGAATGGTAGGCATGGTAGGAATGGTAGGCATGGTAGGCATGGTAGGCATGGTAGGCATGGTAGGCATGGTAGGTATGGTAGGCATGGCAGGCATGGTAGGCATGGAAGGCATGGTAGGCATGGTAGGTATGGTAGGCATGGCAGGCATGGTAGGCATGGTAGGCATGGTAGGTATGGTAGGCATGGTAGGAATGGTAGGCATGGTAGGCATGGTAGGCATGGTAGGCATGGTAGGCATGGTAGGCATGGTAGGCATGGTAGGCATGGTAGGCATGGTAGGCATGGTAGGCATGGTAGGCATGGTAGGC